ACACACAAACAATAACGCCTACCAATACTTCTCTTCCCCTTCATCCATTTAACTTCCCATCGTTCTTGTTCAGTTCTCTCTCGTCTTATGAGCAGTAGCAGTCTTTCATCTCTTATCAGCCTCTTTCCTCTACTGTTTTATCACTAATTTCCTTATCATTCATTTTTCTCTCTTCATGTACTTATTGTAGAAGAGTTTGTATTTTTGTATGTGTATGAGGGGAAGAATATCGTAGTGCCCGCAAATATGTTCGTAAGGAATCATTGTTGTGTCTCTGAAATAGTGAGTTAATTGAGGATATTTGTATCATTTCTTAAGCCTTACTGTTCCTTGGTGCCACTTTCGAACTGTAGTCGGTAAAGAAGAAAAGAGTGATGTGATTGATAAGCAAAATGGAAATATGATAGCTATTTTCAGTACCATTGTTAATGCTAGTGAATTAATTTTAATCATTACTTTTAAATGTAAATGTGGTAGTTATGGTTATCTGCGATGTATTCTTTGAATTTAAAAAATTATCAAGTCTTTTTTCTTATCTCCGATTAGATTAAGAATTTCGATTCCTAACTTTTACTTCTCAATTTTTTTTTCTCGGAGCACGAGTTATTGTAGAGATTGTAGAGGTTCAATTTTAATGCCATCTATGCTTTATCATTGAATAATTTACAGATTTGTATAGACGGTCTTGTGCTGCTGCTCAGTCATCACTTTAAATCGCTGAAAAAAAAATGATTCTACTAGTTGCGCTTTCACAGTCCAGTTATTCATCGTCGTCAGATGGACAGAATGTTGATGATCGAACATGTGACGTGGTGGACGGCATGTCATCAACTTCAGCATCCTTGTTGAATAGTAATACTCTTGTCGGCTCAGTCCCTTCATCCGATAACAACACTTGTTTCATAACCCATCAGCAGCCATCTATCAAATTAGAGCAGTCCTGGTTCGAGTTTCTTTTTTTTCGAACCTTGTTTACAAGAAAGGAACGTTACGCGTTCTTGTTGCTGCAAAGAGGGTGAAATGTTCGAATCAAGGAATTCTGATGATATTTAGTTATGCTTTTTTTTGTTTGCAGTGTGGATGAGCCTGTATTGGAAATGGACCCGGAAGATAACTACTCGGATAGTTTGTCCATCCATTCTGATGGATTCTTCAATTTTGATGCAAGGTTTTTTTATTTGTTAATTATTTCAGTTTTGCCGGTTTTCTTATCAGTTTCTTTAAATTCATGAACTTGTATGGAGCGAGTGAATCTCTTTTTTTTTCAGCTATTCATATATTCATTTTTGACTCTTTTTCAGCTCAGCTCTGCCGTTGATGAACGAGTCGGTTAGTCTAAACGAACGTCGACGGGCGATTCTCGATCTTTCGATCTCTAAAATTCAGACGATGAACACGTCGAACGTTGCAGTATCGCTGCGCAAATCACTTCTTATCTACAATATGATGAAATCTCTGCAGGTTCATTTTTCTATGCGATTTATGTGGTGCTTTCAGGATATTCAAGGGAAAATTTCAGGCAAGAAACGATTTTCAATTATTTGATTGACTACAATCTCTCGCTCACTTAATTCAATATTCCTTTTTGAATAGTTGCTTCGACTTGAAATAATTGTTCAAAAAATTGGAATGAAGAGGCTAAATTCGTCACTAAAAATTCATTACTTGTAGCGAGATCTTGATGCATATGACGTTTTTGTGTGCGACAGTCTGACAGAGAGAGAAAATGTAATCGATAATGATGTGGAAATGCTGGAAACGAGTGAATTTGAAGAGAAGAACTGGAAACAACCGATCTCAGATTTCAATTGTAATATCAACAGCGATAATAATCTATGTAATCAGCATCTGGATTATGATTGGCCATGGGGTAGTCTCGTTAATACAAGCAAAGATCCGATGCAGGTAAAATGTGTTTCACTAATTTATTTTTGAAATTTCACTTATTGCCATTATCAGTGGGTTACATAACAATTGTTAAGGATATTCTTGTAACCAAGTGTATTAAAAAATAATCGATACAGAGAATTCTTTTTAAAAATAAGAATTACTTTCCCTTCTGTCATTTTTTAACCAATTTTATTTTGCAATAAGATAGACTAAGAAAATAAAATATTGTTTGTTTATTTACCAAAAGTCTTGATAATTTCCTAGCAAAACTAGCTGACATATGTTAAAGTTTTCAATAATTCTCGGTCAGAGATTTTAGCATACGAGAGTAGCTGGTATATTGAGTAAAGAGAATATGATCTCATTCAAAATCTAAATGATTTTCTCTTCACCTTTGTATTTAAACGCTACCATTGTATAGCGTTGGATGAAATTGTTTTCCACTGAGTGGAGAAGATTATGGTACGTGATGTAGAAGTTAAAAAGATAAGAGGAGAGGAAAGGAGAAAAGAAACAATAGAGGGGGAAGTACTGCAGCAAAGCATGAATAGATATAAACATTTCTAACGTATAACTGCTATGTTCAATATTGCAGAGATTAGCATTTTGCTAGCATTCTAAGTAGACAGCAACGAAAGGCATTGAAAAATTCTCTTTACCTTGTTTTTCTTTAGGATTCTAAAATATGAAAAAATTTATTCAGAATTTCTTATTGCAGCATAAGCTGGGTGCATGATTAAAAATGAATAAATTTTCAGAGTTCGGAAAAATGTGATAGTGATAACTTGTTTACCTTGACGAACAGCAACGACTTGTTTAGTGCGGGAAATATCTGGAGCAATTCGGATTCGACAGATTCGTCTGCATTCGTCGATGATTATTTGGGAATGTTGTGTGCTTGGGAAGATGAGAATTACAACCCGCTTACAAACTGCAATCTTACGCGAGCGGAACTAATGAATATGTTTCATTTGCCTTCATATCATTTGAACAACCAGTTAGTCTCTCAGGCTTGAATTATTCATGTGGTACCACATATGATTTTTTGAAATTGATTATATTGGTCTTTATTATTTTTAAAAATTTTTTTGAAGGTTCCGGAGTTCATTGTATTTGATCCCAGTTTTCAGTCTAGGAGTCCATTCATTACTCTATCAAAATAAATACCGTCCAGTGTACATTTTTATATAATCTTCGTTTATTATAAACTTGTGTCGTTACTTTGTTCCCCGCTTATTACATCTCCGCTGCTGTACATTGATTTGCAGGTTGTTAAGATCTCGTTCGAAGAATCGGCGTTAGGTAGTGAAGGATAAGTAGGTATACCGCATGAATTTCCATTAAAGAGACAATTTTTTTCCTGATAGAAAAATATTTTTTTTGCATGCAATTTTTAAGCACGCATGATAGATACGCAGTGCAGGCTACTGCACACCGATGCTTCGACTTGCATTTTTCGTTAATTTTGTCTTATTCGTCTTTTTCTCCTACATTATCAAAGTTTGGAAATTTTTATAAATGAATTTCGTTGGAATTTATTTTTCGCTCTCGTTAGTTTGGAAGCTAAGTTTGGATATATTTCCGTTTCTCATTCCTTCTTTTCCTTTTTTCGTCTTTTTCTCATTAGATATCCCCTATGGCTTTGTGTTCTTTGTTCTTTCACAACTTTATTCGTTAGGTCTGTAGAAAAGTCTTTATGGTAAAAAGACGAATGAAATGGCTAACTACTGACTTATCATGTGTCACCCAGAATGCTCTCCCTTTTATTTCTTTAAAGGTCACATTGGTTTTTTGGACGAAGTATTTATACGTGGTTAAAATGGCGAAGCATAATACTGCAGGCTTATATCAATTTTTCTCACTATCCCTTTTCTTTTGCTTTTCTGCACAACATTTACTTTAGATCACCTAAATTCACAATTTAGCATGTTGATACATAATTTTTTCATCTTCTATTATTTTTTGTCAAAAATATAGAAATTATTGTGGGAGAGCGATCTCAAGTTGCCCAAATTTGGGATCTTGCTAATTCAAAAAGTGTATTGCTTAATTGAGAAAGTGTTGGATACTGAATGCATTTTTACTCATTGTTATATATATCTGGTGAATAATAGTATGATATGAGCTTTTGACTTTGTTTAGTATTTCATTCACTCTTTTATGTTTCAGTGCAGTGAAGTTCTTTTTACACAGCGCAGGCTGAAAAATACTGTTCCAATGAAAAAATGAGCAAATTTATTTTGATTGGGTTGCTTCCTCATTAGATATGCTTATTGTATTGCGTGTTCCACTCTGTCGTTGAATCTGTCTTTTGCTTTAAATGTTTTGTTTGCTTTTTGTTTTAAAATTAGACGTACTTAATCTTTCTCCAATTGCATCTCATTCGTGATTATAATTCCTTAAGGAAAACGGAAGAAAAAAAAATCAGGTTATTCCTCATGCCACTGAATACACTAAACACTTTCTTTATCATGTACGCATTCGACAGTGTAGATGAGCTTGAGCTTAGGCTCTTCTCGTTCTCTATAGCTATTATATATCTGATCCGAGGTGCAACTTTTTTCTTGTCTTTCCGAATTTTCACTTCTCAAAACTTTAATAATCAGATCTAAATTTCCATTTTTTATGAAACTTTTTGTTTATAGCATAAGACGAGTTATGTTATGGGGCAGCTTTATTATACATTCATCTTTCATTAATTTGTACGTTATCATTTTATTGTCAGCTTGTTTTATTCCATATGTTATCATGTTTTTCAGGATGAGATGTTATGAGCATATCTTTGACATGCTGTCGAAATTAGCATTTTAAATTAAAGTGGAAAAAAGATTATTTTGTTCTTTTAATTACTCTTTATTCTTTATCCATATAAGAAATGTCAAAGAGAAGCATACTGGTTGTGATTTTTCCCTGGTTTTTTGGAATTTTTTGCTAAATGGCAGGCATATGCAATAGATATCTCACTGAATAATCATTGTGATGTTGTAGATGTTCTGAGTTGTTTGATATATGTGTATGTTAAGATATTTTAATGTATGTGTAAGCTTGCTGCACCAATAATTTATATAATTTTGGCATTTTTGCTTGTAGTCGAATATTTTGCAGTTTTTACATTCATCAGTGGTTTATTTCGTTAACTTGTTTAATTAATGTTTTGGAACACAAGTTCGAGAAAAATAATCTTCAGTATTATTATGTAACTTCTCAGAGTGTTTACACTTTTTAAGTCTAAAAAGTGCTAAAATGCTAAAATTTTTAAGTTTAAAAATGCTGAAATCCTTGGCCAAAAAAATGCAAAAAGCATATATATATTTTTACTTATATTGCCAAATACGGGTGATTTTCTATTTCGTTCTCTCCCTAGTTTTCTTATTTTTTGACTGATCGACTTGCACAATTATTTCGTTACTCGGTAATTGTTCAGTTTTAACGAAAACTTAAAAATAATTAATTCCGTTTCAAATTTAACTGATAGCAGTAGAGATAGAAATGGAGAAAATGGAGGAGTTCATCCCTCACCACTGATTAGTCTCAACATTCTATAAGCCTGTATTATCTGCGTATAACTGTAAAGTTGTAATAGAACGGGGAAAATTGTTCACGCCTTCTGATTTACTCTTGTTACTCTTAATTGGAAGTTTTTTCTTTATCAAAATATTCATTTTAATTGGACGTTATCATTTAACTTCCGAATGGCTTCCTTGTTATCTCAATCTCAATATTCTTTCGTCATTCATATTATATTCAGTATAATTCATATTTCCTTGCTAGCGTATTTTAGCTACAATTGGCCACATCATTCTCATAGCTTCCTTTCAAAGAGCGATATTTCCTTATATATATGTATATTATACATTTATATGTTTATAACAAATACTTTTAGGTAATATTTTTAGATCTAAAATTTCGAATTTTCTATCACATTGTATATACAACTCTGAAGTCTGCTTTTTAAAAGTTATTTTTCTCTTTTGTTCTAACTTTAAAGTTATTTTTCTCTCTTAATTCCAACTGAAAAAGGATCTATTTTTTTTGGATTTTGTTAGATAATGTTTATTACTTTTGTATTAATTGTTCATATACATTTTAATTTTAATTTCATTTTTTTTTCAATAGAAATAAAACTGTTGCAATTTTGAAATGGCGGATTTTCATTGTATATAACACCAATACAGTATGACAACTAAAATATTTTTTGTTTCATGAAATGTCATTCGTAAAATAGGAAGAGGTTGTGTGTTTCCGGTTTCAATATATGGTTATATTCTGTGAGGAATTTAATCTATGGTCCCCCTAATGTTTTTCATCAACACATTATTAAGCATTGCTTCTAAAGATGTGGTTTATTAGCTTTCTTATCATCGATTTTGATGATAGGTGAGGGAGAAGGGAAGTGCAAAATATAACATTACAGTAAAATAATCATCTCTTAGCTTCTTTTTTGCTCTCATTCGCGGAGAGGGTCCTTTTCAACCAATATAGTTTTATTGATCGATTCGATTGTGTACATTGTGCAGTTGGTTCATTTCGTTCTTGCATAGGTGGGCATTAATTTCAATGTTCTGTCACAGAGATGAGATGCGTAAGTATTGCTTAGGAGAGCTATCTCTTTCATCAGTTGCAAAATTACTTGAGTTGAAAAATAAACAGTGCATATCACTAATCATGCGTTTTCTTCATCTAGTGAGATTAAGTGAAAGAGTAAGGTAAGTGAATTAAGTATTTACAACTGGAACCATTAGGTGCAATTAAACTTATCACCTTGCTCTAACAAATATATCTTTCTCATATGTGAATTAGGGTAATTCCTCATTTGATTTGCTGAAGGAAAGATAAATTAGTTCAGCAAGACGATAATCTGTTCTAACCTTTTCGCTAGGGGTCGCACTGTTTAATGAACGACAATCACCTTGAACTTCGGTCTTTTCGAATGCAGAAAAAATTTACTCGCTGATAAGAATTGCTAAGCAAGATTGATAAAATCGATGATCATCAAATGCTTTATGATCATTTCATTTTTTGTGCAATTCAGTACTTCTTTCAGGAAATTTGTCTTTTTTGCAGTCATAGAGAATGTCACGTTACGATATTGTGCTATATGGTGCTAGTGGTTTCACGGGAACCTATGTTCTTAAATTGTTGATTGAAGAACAAAAAAAGCAGAATGTAAGTTTTGCTATTGCTGGACGAAGTGAAGCTCGGTTAAGGAAACTCCTCGAGAGTACAGGTAAAGAATTAAATATCACTTAGTTTAAATTTTTTTGCTTCTTTAATAAAATATCAGTAGTCCCAATATTTTTCTACATCATATAAATTGGGAAAATCAGTAGTTAGTTGATTGTTTAAAAATTATATCGATTTTGGATTAGAAAGGGCACGTTAGATGTATTGTAGATATTGTCTCGCATGAAGAGAGAAGAAAATAAAGATGGGAAGAGGGAATAGTGAAAAACTTTTTTTGTATTGCGGATAAGCGTGAAAGTCTTTGGTACATGAAGTGTTGGAAATCTTTAGGCAAAGATCTACAAAATATCTCTATAATTATTGCCAACAGTTATGATGAGTCTACGTTAGCAGCAATGGCGAAGCAAGCAAAAGTCATCATAAATGTTGTTGGACCTGTAAGTTGCTTATATTTTGATGGACTGCTCCATTTAGTATATCGATTGACATTTTTTTTATTTCCTCTACTTTTTGAAATGAATACTAAAAACTTCAGAAATAGTCATCCTGCATGCTTTGATCTTGCTCGTTAACTCTTGATTTTTTTGATGAAACTTAATTAATAGAACTTAATTTCTCTTTTTGCAGTATCGATTATATGGAGAAGCAGTTGTAAAGGCTGCTGTGGAAAATGGTGCTAGCTATGTGGATATTTCGGGAGAACCTGCGGTAATATGTTTGCAGTTGCTGTTATTAGAAATATTTTCATGTATTTAATTAACTATTGTAATTGTAAACCTGTTTTGTTGTAGTTCTTGGAATCGATGCAAATGAAATACAGTGATGTTGCTCAAAAAAATGGTTTATATGTGGTTGGTGCATGCGGTTGGGATAGCATTCCGTGTGATTTGGGTGTTAATTTTCTGAAGGAGAAATTTAACGGTCAACTAAATCATGTGGAAACATTTGTGCAATTAAATACAGGACCTGCGGTATGACACCATGCATTTATTCATGTCATTCGTGTTATTTGTCTTTGAATGATAAAAAATTAATAATCATATTGTTAGAATTTGTCTTTTCGTTCTACTTTTTTGATTTTGTATGTTTGTGATCATTTGTTTTCTGAGAGCTTCATCTTACTGTTTGCATGATCACTTATTTTCATTAATATTTTTTCTCTTTTTTTGTAAGAAAAGTGGCAAGGAAGTTCTCATATGAAAAATTTAGGAATCAAAATGTCTCTCTATGGGATATTCATTAAAAATTAGTGTTCTATGCGCAAATGCTTGCATTCTATTAGTAACTTACAGACTAAACTTTCTAGGGTTATTCGTTCAATGCGGGTACATATCGTACTTTAGTTTTGGGCTTGGCAAATATGATGACCGATGGCTTGGGTAAAATAAGACGAAGTATTATGCCAGAACGGCTGCCAAAAAGCTCGTTCCGTGCACCGAAGAGGTTTGCGATTTAACATAATATATCAGAAATCGAAGCCAGATGTATGTGCTTGTTGATGCTGTTTTGATTATATTTATTTTTCAGGGGTACTTTTTGGTTCAATGACAAAATTGATGGATGGTGCCTTCCATTTTACGGATCAGACAAGAGTGTCGTTACTCGATCTCAATATTTTGACTACAAGCTCCACAACGTTTTACCAGTAAGTTGATTTCCTTTCGTTTTTTTCCTTTTCATTTCGCTAATTGTGATAAATTCAAAGCGGTCATTATTTTATTGTTGAGTAAAAGTATATTCTTAGGTTGCAACATAAAAGTAAATTATGAGCAATATCTTTGGTAAGCAAGCTATCTAAAATTTGTTTTTTACAGCTACGAAGAAATCTTTTATATACATTAGATACTGCTTACGTCCTTAAGAATTTTCTGATGCAGAAATATAAATTACTAATTTTTATGGTTAGATATACTTTACTTGGAAGTGATACTGAGCATTATTAATGCAGTAAGGAAAAAGATTAAATTTGCACTAGATTTTTAAAATGTAGCTAGAAAAATTTCTTTTCGTGGACGTCGCATTTTTCAAAAGTGATTTTTGTTATTTGTTTTTCTGTTGCAGTAAAGCTATCCAAAACTAATTTTATGCATTTTAGTTGCTTATTAGTTTAAAACAACTTCTGCAGAACAGAAAAAATAGTGAGTCTGTATTTTCCCAATGGTGTTGCGAAACACTTCTACTATTTATTGCAACAAGTTTGAGTGTTGTTCAGCAGTAGTTTTTTATTTTACTATTGGTTGTCCGTACTTGTGCTTATTGGGCACAAATTGAAAGGAAATAAATTATCACTGTGTGTACTAGTAAAAAAATAGAACTTTCATTTTACTGTAATTTATAAAGATGTGAATTAAAAAGCAAAAAATTCCAAACTTAAAGTGACATTTACCGATTTGCTGTACTTTGCAATGTTCACTGTTACTGCTGACTTAGCTGGAACATAGAATACGGTAATGTAAGGTATAATCTAAACGTGATGTTTTAGAAATGATCATTGCGATTCTACCTTTCGACGCATGCACATTTCGATTATAAATTTGTAACAAATGAGGCGGGAGAGTATTTAAAGGGATCGAAATTTATTTAGCAAAGCAAGGGAGAATTACACAAAATGACTTATAAAACGCAGAAATGACAAGAAAATATCAAAGAAAAGTAAGAAGGGAAGGAAATTGTACCATTTAACAACATTACTATTGCTAATCATATAGGTCAGACCGACTATTGTTGATTGAAGAATATAGAAAATCTTTTTTATATTTTCCATTTTTTTTGTTTAAACAAAAATATCTTCAAGCTTGTAATGGACAATTTTTCTATTTGCTAAAATTTATCACTTTTTATCATTCCCTGAATACTTTGTTCCTCTGCTGATAGAAACAGATAATTTGAAGAAGAGAAAGGGGTGCATATACGTTAATAAACTGTTTGGAAGAAAATAAATGACTTCGTAAAAACTTAGAACCATTATAAGATGATTGAAAGGACAAGAAAAGGAATAATCTTTTTATCATTTTAGGGTTTATCTTTTTTGTACTTGAAGAATCCCTATGGTAACGAAAAATTACAAAGGGAAGTAAATTTTGCATGAAATGAATAAACAGAATGAAAGGAATTTGACCTCTTTGCATATTTTTTTAGAGATTTATTTCCCTTAAAATTTGCCGCTCAGTTGTTAATCTTCTGGATATTAATTACAAAATTGCTTGATCACCATTTTCCAAAGATTTTTTGCTACAATACAAGATGTTTTAATTTATTATAATATAATGTTCAACTTAGGAGATCGCTCTAGTAAGATATTTCAGGTGCAAGTGGAAACATTCATTCGAGTCAAGTCATTTATTTGGGCTTTTCTTCTTTCTCTGTGGCTTGTGGTATTTTCTGCCGCTGCCAAAATATCATTTATGAAAGATTTTTTGTTGGCATATCCAGGATTATGCAGCTTTGGCATGTTCAAGGATTCGGGACCTACCACTGAACAGGAAAAATCAATTTCCAAATTTGATCTTTAATATTACTTTATTCAGAATATAATCTTTTTAAAAGAAAGTTCGCGACATATTAACAAGTAATTATTAGGACACGCACTGAGTTCTACAGCGATTTAGTGAATGATCATGCCGTTCGTGAAAAACATAATTATATGAGAATATAATCAATGTTTTAAATTTTCAGGTTAAACAAGCGTCGTTTACTTACTGGTTTTTTGGTACTGGTTGGACAGAAAAGCACAGCTCTTTGGACGAATACAAGGTTAAACCAGCTAAACAGGTAATTTAGGTTTCATGCAACTAGTTGAACAATGTTTATATTTGTTTATATTTGCTCTATAGATGCCAATTTGATTTATGTGTCTGAGGCTTTTGTAATTTGACAGTTTTATTGAAGATGAAGAATGATCACGTAATTTTCTGCAGATGGTAGCTCGTTGTGTGGGCCCGGACGCCGGTTACATTTCCACATCAGCTTGCGTTTTAGCCGCTGCATTATCGCTGCTCAATGATGCTGATAAACTTCCACAAGGGTAGGTTTTTTTATTAGGAAGTGAAAAATGGCCATGGTCAAATAGATTTTGAGAGGAAAGAGTAATCTTGATTTTCAAGTCACATAGCACAGCCAGACTAGCTAACATGATGCTGGACGCTACGGAAGACGTCTTCCTTTGAATTGATCTATTATTTTGAAAACTTGTCAAGAGATGGAATTTCATATTAGTATGTATAATATGTCTATCTACAAAATTCTCTGATTTTTATTAATTAATTCGAGCGATTGAAATCAAACCACCTTACAGTGGCGTATACACATCAGCGGCAGCATTCAAAAACACAGGAATTTATGGTTGTCTCGAGAAATATGGTGTTCGATTCGAAATTGTTGACGAGCTTCACTGATTCTTTTTTATGCAGATTGTTTTTTCAACTTATTTGTTATCACGACATCACTTATTCGTCAATATTTTTTTACTCTTTTTGCGATAAAGATTGAAATTGATCAATGTTAGTGTTAAAGAAACATTATATCTTAAGAACAGTAGTTGAGCAAACAATTATCATATATATTACAAAAAACTTTTGTATCGGACAGACAGTTTTAACATTTGAATGAAACAGTCTTTGTTTTGAGCTTGAAATTTGGAATTTAAAGAGAGTGAACTGGTCTTCCATATACTGACAATATAACACTGACTGCTAATTGTACATGTTGCTTAGATATTCTTTAATAAGTAAGTTGTGTAATCGTCAGATAAGCTATTCTGCTTTACTTCTGTCAATCATTCAAACCATTAACTTTTTAAACATAACTGTTATGTTAAAAAATTTCAAGATATGCTTTTTAAAGCAAAATGGTTTAAGCTTTAGTAGTTCCCTTCATTTTATATTTAAAACAAGTTTTTGATTTGGATAATAACTATCCAGATATTTTTTTCGGATCGCGAGCTTGCAATTCAAGGCATGATCCATGATAGACTCGTGGACGTACAGATGGAAACAAATCCTCGATGACTAAATTCAACAAGCAGGCCTGTACTCCGCGTAGACACTGTGAGATGATTGGAAGATCTTGTTTGAAACCACACTTTTCCAACCCTGAAAAATAAATGAAACCCAGTAGAACACTTGATATTGAGGTGAAATTGAAATTCAAATATTATTTGAAGATTTTTGTTTTTTTGGTATTAACGTTTCTAAATCTGAGATAAAGTAACTTTGATGGGATATTTACCTTTTCAGATAAATTGTTTCTAGAAGTGTGAATAATAAAATTACAATTTACTTACAGTTTTTAAGCTCCTCTGGATCTTTTAAACAACCCTCTTCATCGATCATTTCTATTGCTGGTGCACACTTTGTCCCCGGCACATGTGAACCTCTCACCTCTAGAAGTTCGAATAATTAATTAAAATTTATTTCAATGCATAGAAATGAATGAAATGAGCATTTTATTCAACGATTGTTTGAATAAGTTTGAATTTGAATTAAAATTTGAATTAATCGATCTAAAGAAGAAGCAGAGAAATACAAACTTTTTGGATCAAATATAGTATCAATCTTTCCCTCAAACTGATCTCTTGGACGTGTGTCGAAAAAATTTACCTAAAGTTAAAATCATTAAAGATAAAATAATCCGGTTCTTAATTTAAAAAGAAGGTATCCTCACAAGAGTATCTGATCTTCCATTTCCTGCATAGAGGAATGTGAAGATATCTCATGGATCTGATAGATACCAGCCATAATTTATCAATTATCTAATCATTGTAAATTACAATAACTTCTGGCGCTTCTCGAGTAATGTCTATATATAATATTCAAATCAGCTGAATGGCAGAAAAAATTATCAAGACTGATTTTCTGCTATTTTTAAAACATAAGTGACTTACCTGGTCAGTTTTATCAAATATGTTCATCCCATTGGAATCCTTCTTGATAAGCTGTTCATATGTTACAATACAATCCGGACAAAGCTTTGCTTCCCAATCACCTGGCTTTAAATATAATATTTGAACTTCAACGTTCTTGTAAGTTCGCTTTAAACATATTTCAGAATACATATGTTAGTAATATTTTTTCACTATACAAAACAAATTGTTTTCTGGATTTCTCTAATGTTTAATACAGATAAGATTTCACTTTAATGAAATTCAGTATTCATCTTATTACAGTAAATTAGAATTACAGTGACTTCTGGCACTTCTCGATTAATTTCACCGCCATCTTTTTCCCATGCTGCGAGACCTCCGTCTATGACAGAAACAGCTCCATGGCCATAGTACTGCAAGAAAAAGCTAAATCTGAAGCAGCAAAACTTATATCATGAAAATATGGAAACTCTAATAATGTAATATGGATGGGAGTAACTGAAAGAGCAGTTAATAGTAATAATAAGTGATGATAATAAGAATAATAATTATAATTAACAATTAATAATTGGCGATAATAATAGTAATGATAAATAATAACAACAATAAAATAATATTAATGACAATAATAATGATAATAATGGTGGTAATTGTAGTGGAGAGCTAGAGAAATGCAGTTTACAGATTATTGTTTTGAAAAACCGTTGTGACGACGCGAACCTTAAATAGCCAAGAAATGCGACAGGGGAACATCATGCCAGCAATGTGTTCCCTGCCGTATAAGATGATATGCTCCGATCGATTGACACCCAATAAACGAGCGTATTTCTGGAATATCTCTGGTGGATACATAGCATATGATTCATAAAGACTGGGATAGGTGGCTATGTTGAGATCCATGTGAACTGCTTGAGGGATATGCTTTTCTAAATAGTCGCAGTATTGCCTAAAATCAGAAATTTCATTAAATATTACATGAGGAATATAACCTATGCATTATTTAGTTCAGCAAAATCGTACTTTGTATTCATGTTCATCATTTCTTTGAATCTTCCATACTTAGTTTTCATGAAATCTTGATGATCTCGTGGTTCAAAACTTCCGCTGCAATCCAATAATCGATAACCACCACCATTTTTGAAACCACCTTTCTGAAATTATACCCATTAATATACAATCTTCTGTACAGTTAAATCTGCACACAAATAATGTAATCGTTTTTAAACTTTCAATTATTATAGAAAGCATTCATCATTCAAATGTTCGTTATTCATCAAAGCTTTTGATTGCTTTAAATATAACATACCTTAAAAAGATCAGCAACCACTGATGTACTGATAAAATTTTTTAGTTTCATCTCGCATTCTTAACTTTTGCTCCTGCATTAGAGATAGGTTCGAGTACTGAAAAGACGGTTACGACATTTCAGAAACGATGAGAACACGCTGCATCCATCAGGCCATATCGACGTGAACTATGCGTATTTAATTCGATACAATCATTAGTCATTATTTTTCCCATGAAGAATAATCCCACGTATATACTCTCTCCGTCAACCTAATAAATAACGTTGATGCTTGTAAATAGAAACACGTAACTGATCTCCATTGAGATTCAATACGACCACAATGCAAACTTTCAAAATTTGTTCAGTTTTAGTGTTTGGATGTGATGTAAAATTTGATGCATTTTTTAAAGAAAAATTGGAAGAAAAAAGAATGAAACGCAAATGAATAACGAAATTATGACCTGTTGAATGCAAACATCGAAGTAACTATCAATCGATGTTTGGATAAATGTGCACATGTCACGGGTGTTTGTGTGT